TTTATTTATATGTATGCGTTTATTTATACTACTCCGTCCGCAATTTTCGTATTAATGTATTGATATACATATATGTATATCAAATTCCCAAGATGGTTAACGTTCTGAGAATTTCCATTATTAAAGTACGTTATTTGACGAAATTAGCAATGATGTGTAATGTTTATTAGACCCAAGATATTGATTTGTTGCTTTCAATAAACTAATACAATATAGAACCTGTCGCCACATCCCACAGGAGGCGCTATCAATTTCATAGATTTGAGGTTGTCAAGGTTACCGCCTGATTGACAGGTTCGGGTAATGTGGACCCAAAATACATACTTAAAGACATCCCATATCAAGCATAAATGGATGTATAATTCGCGCCTGAATGAGTTCTTTAGAATTCTGAAGCATATTCGGCAACCCACGTAATAAATAAAATATTACGTACTAGCTGTGCCCGCGACTTCGTATGTGTGGTTATTGGAACAAGGTTATAATTTTATTTGAGGAGCTATTGCAATAAAACGAATGCAAATGTATGTTACGGGAAACTTGCATTCAATTGGTCAGTCATTTCTGATATTAGTGTGCAAAAATTCAGTCATAAATTCTAAGAGCTATTTGTTTAGTTTGGTTTAAAAGGGTTTTTTTAGAAATATATCATATACTTACATACAGAGACGGCTTGTTTACTATTTTATAATATGCATGATTTTTACTGCTTGTAATATTATAATACTAGTTGTTACTCGCGACTTCGTTCGCATTCATTATTTTTTATTAAAATACTATCTCACATATCACTCGGATATAGCTAATGTTAACATTAGCTATATCTGAGTGAAAGTTCCACCAAAATCGGCTCAGACGTATCAGACATTAGCAAAAACAAACAGACGACAAAAATATTTTAAATTGATTTATTGGTGTAAGTACCGTTTATACTTTCATATGATTGAGCGCTCACTTTGAAACTACAAATAGACACTTCGATTTCTTATTTATATAGATCAATATCATAACAAGTAAATTTTAAATAAGCGAAGATAGTTTTTTCGATTAGGTAATAATAATAATTTGTTTTATTACTTTTTCTAAGTATATTTTTATTGAATTGGCAAATTATGTTGGTATGATTCTGTGCTCATGCTGGGCTCATAAGTACCTAACAAGCATAAGACACCAATTTTGTATTCACGAAATGGTATGTATCAAATTAGGCATTCACGTCACCCATTCATACGAATATAAACTAGCGTCGCCAATTTAATGCAATTACTATAAACTACTTGTCTCTAACATCTACGTAGCAGTCAATTTATTTATTTTTAGCCACGTACTGCGCCTCTCTGGGCTCTAGGTTAACAGTTAATAATATCAATAATCTCATTAATAATGACTACATTTACGTAGAGAATACTGAGGTAGTGTTAATTAAATACGTATCCATTATTCTAATCCGAATTACCCATATTAAACCTGTGGACTACTACTATTTATTTAATTACCTTATTTCGTATGTCTTTTAGTGATATACTAATACCACCAAAACATACTTACTACTTGATTCGGTGATTGAAAGGTTTCTTAATGTACACGTTATATAATAAAAAAAAACAATTATTTATAACGTACACGTGATATCATAAAAATGTAAGTGATAGCTGTTCTGTAAGTACATGTAAATCAAAATATCATTCAAGAATTTAATGTAGGCACGCATAATTGGTAAAAGGTTAACTTTAAGCAAGCCCTCTTTTCACCATTTTTGTCAGATTTTGGTTGGTTAATTTACATCACATATAAGCTCTACTGCACCACCGCCATTGATGATTTGATGAGAATCATTGGCAGTTTTATATATTCTTCACCTATGTTTAAAATAGAAGTGTTCTTTATATTTATTGTTTTATACACCTTTTGTCACTGCGCTCTGCTGTAATATACATCTACAAGCATCTCTCCTTTATCATTTATTATAATTGGTTTCTATATCGGTTTTTAAATTTCAGCGATACCTGATTATATAGAATAAAATTCTTTAAATGTACAACTAAAGATCTTCAAATAAATGGAATAAATGTAGAATACTTTCCATTTAAAAAATGTATTATTACTTAGACGCAGAGATTAAATAGTAATATCGTCCAATGATGGTAATCCAGCACAGTCAAAGTGGTTGCTCAGGTTTTTTATTTTTTCAAGTTAGCTCTTTTTATTTCGGGACTTTCCACCTAGGTATTAATAAAATTAGGCATACAATGCTTTTCATTCATCACTTTACGCATTGCTACTTCAACGTGTATTTGTATTTCAAAGTATTTGCCCAAACGATGTTAGTTTTTTCTTCATTTTCGTACAACTGATATCATAAATAAATATTAAGTTAACATTAACATGAATATCAGCCTATATCGATGGTAGTATTTTAGAATTTCGTTATGCCAATTTTTTTCTTTCTTTTTTAATTCGACTTTGGTGGCTTTCAATGTCAGGCAAATCTTATCTGCCAACAAGTTTACACACTTGGAAAAAAATTCCAAGAAAATGTTGCTCATGTAAAAGTAATAAAAATTGACAGTGTTATTTGGTACAATCTTTTTGCAGGCGATGTTGTGTTATTAATATATTATAATTTATTATAAGTACCTAAAATTATTATTTTTTAACCAATTTCTTAGTTTACTAGGTAATAAGAGAATAAATTACACATACCGTGTTAGTGTTTTTTTTTCTGAATACACAAAATCATACTTATGAATAAAAATGTTTGCATCGTGCGAGGAATTGAATTCGCGTTCATTGAAAGTAAGGTGCTGTGTTACCATTACACTACTGAGACCATCGGAAGTTATTTGTGAGCTAGTGCTTCAAACTCATATTCATTAATATTATATAATTTTTTTTAAATTTTTTCTTAGTACTTAATTAGTAATTAGAAAGGAATAATACTTTTTCTTCCAAAAACTTAGTTTTAAGCAATTATAGAGTAGACCTTTTTTTATTTTATCGCCACATTCGGACGTATGAATTGTACTTAGATTACCGGATATATCTACCATTATTTTTATGGTGCGTCTATGGGCAAGGCCGCACATGTGTCATAGAGCCTCAGACTGATATAAACAAACAAGTATTGGACGATTTTACAAGTACGAACACGGCTGTTACTTTATTAAGGATGCTAAATATGATTCCTATAAGTAATTCTATGAAATCTCAAATAATTTATTCTGTAAAAATCTATTTAAAGGTTGCCTTTTGTATTAAACTTATTTCTTGTAATGATAAAAAATAAATAGATAAAATAGAATTCTTATTCTTAAGTAGTTACTTACACTTAAGTGGAATATAAATATAATCTTAAAAAGAAAGTTTATAAAATATGCTTATTATTATGACATTGCTACAAACACGACAGTCATAATGACATGATCAACTGATGCGTAAATTCAATAACATTACTAAAAATAAAATACTGACAACACTATGATCGAATAATATGTAGGTGTATTTTAATTGATATATCTATTTTTATAGATAGCGTAAAAGGAATTCAACTAATTATTTTGTTTGTTATGAAATCGAGCTAATCTCGAAATGAATGACTCGTTTTCGAATGGTATTTAATTTCAAATGTAGATACCACCGTAAAATCTTTTTATTAGCAAGAGATCATTGTGAGATTTCGCTCTGTTAGTAACAAGGCGAATATAATAGCAAACCTTGTTGTAATCAGGACAAATTAACTCTTCAGCATTTTGCCATTGAGAACGTTTTTGTATTGTTTATTAATGTAACAAATTCCACACTTTACCGTCTGTATTGTGTATAGACACTATGATACGTGTCGCGTGATGTAACCTTTGCTTGATTAGGCCATTGCTTATGCCTTATTGATTATGTTACTCCCATATTGCCATAAGACATTACTTTCTTCAGTTTTTGCTGTTCTAATCGACTCTATCGTGGATGGAATATATTTGTCTGTGATTTCATAGACTACACGTCTCTGTCTAGTATGTCATGCTACAATCTAATGAAGTTTAGAATGTGAACAGAGTTATCCCATTCTTATAACTCGGATATTGCCAAATTGAGTATTAAATATACCTAAAGCAATTACAGAAATGTACTCGATAGACACAATGGAGGGATTGCTGGTTAAGTAAAATATAAATATTGTTTGTTAACCGATATTGATTCCACCTAGGTACATGTAGGTATAGGTATATACTTTAATGCTTTGTTGAGTGAGATAGCAAATTTTTAAATGGTAGGGGCTAGCGCTGGGAGTTCGGTCCACGCGTGACGTAAAATATAATTACAGAAACGCGCCGCAGCCACGATCATGAAGGCCAACTGCTAACAACTCCAATTATTTAGATGATTCCATCCCAACTCCCAACATATACATAACTACGTAACCATAAAAATCTTAAAATTATCTAGTTCATTTCGGTATCATTTACGAGCAAATGGCAAAAAACGTGATTATAGCAACTCGTTTTACTCAATATAAAATCAGAATTATTCACGTATGATTGTATACGGACCTTGAGCGCTTCGGGTGAGACCTTCACGCCGGTAACCGCGCGGAAGTCGGCGGGTACTAGCGGGTACCTATGTTTTTTGTCAAATTTGAGCTTGTTGAATTGCGCATTAGTCACTAGTTAGGCACCAGTGAGTGTGTTTTATTACTTGCGGCGCATTGTTGACGAGCTGCACTGATATCGTCGCGTCGCGTCGCGTCGGGTGCACACTATCGTTATCATCAATGTCACAACACAACGATGTCTAGATTGTCCCCTACACGGACAGTATTGTAATGCCATGTTGTGCTCTTATCTCGATACTCGTTTAGTCGGTCTCGGTCGCCTTCACTCTTCATTATATTTACATTCTTAATCGTTAACATCATTATTCGCGGATTCGATCATTCGGGCGCAAATTGTTCGTGACAGTCGCATCAGCGTGACGTGGGGCCGTCGGTTGACGTGTAATCTGTGCAGTGTAGTCGCGATTCTCGGCGAAGTGCAGTAGCTCTGTTGAGTCTTTAGTGATGTGAGGATGCTAGTGCGTGGTCATGTCAAGCGTGGCGAAGAAAGACAAGCCGACGATGTCGGTGACAGCGCTGATGAATTGGGCGCGGCCACCGCTGTCGGGCCCGCAGCAACCATCGCCCGCAACACCGGCGCCCGTCACCGGCTTTTTGCAGCCGCTTCCAACACCCTCGACAATTTCCAGCGACAGTTCACTAGACATGCAATGTAAATATGTATTTCACTCATAAGGGCACCTTGTTAATGACAGTTTATTGCCTTCTATTTATCAGAGATTCCGATGTATGTAGATAGTGAAGTAAATGCGACGGTTTACTAATATTTAGGCCGACGTGTCATTAACAGGAGACCTTTTAACTTATTATTATAGGAATATTAGTATAACTATATTTTATAATTATACAGTCTAAGGCGACTAAAATAATTCTCAGTACATATTACAGAAATAGGGGAACCTTGAGGATAATCAATAAATGGGCACTTTCAAGTTTTATTCAACGCTATAGGTATGAGGTTGAATTATTTATTCGTCTACCTATTCCATTTTTTTTAATCGCATCTACGATGTATTTGTCTAATTATGGTATTAAAATATTTACATAAATACGTAACACTAATTTATATATAAATGAAACATGTTTTATCAGTTTACTTTTTCCAGAAATTGGATCTACGTATGTAGTAGGATTATAAAAAACAAAAAATATATTTTTTGTTTATGTTATATCAATCGCGAAACAAAAAAAACTTGTATTATGTTTAAGGAACACTTAAAAATGGAATGGGTTGTGAACCTATGTGTATGTGTATAAAGTTAACTCTATGAAACACACGTGTCCATACATGTATGTTTCACAGAGTATACTAATTATTAACTAATAATTATTAACTACTATTAAATTAAACCAATCTCAAGTATATAGTATGAAATACCTTTTTTTAAATAAATATTTGGTCATATTTTTTGTTTATATAATGTATAATTTAAATGCACTTGTAAAAATAAATGCCTGATTTTAATGTGGTTATAAAATCAAACCAAATATGTTATATGCAAATAGTACCTACCATGAAGAAATGGTTTTAATCATCATTACTCAGCCTTTGTGCCATTAGAAATAAATATTTTAATAAGGCGTTTCATAACTGAAATTATTTTTTTATTGCAGTAAATACAAAATAAACTTTAATATTCGATATTATTTTAAATAAGCTTAGGTTTCCTGAAGTTCCGTTTTGTCTTTTTGGATTGTATTTAAAATATCATTAAGATTTGTAAACAAGTCTTGTCATTGTTTTGTGTTTTGTCCTTTTTCCAACCAATAAATTTTATGTAGCCATTTCTATGTGCTGTTACTACGAGTAATTATCACTATATTAATTGAATAATGTAGGGGTACTTTATGTACTTTTTACGCACAGTACAAAAAGTAATCGTTATTTTCTAATGAGTTTGATAATAACACACTGTATACTAGATGAAACGATCACTTTGAGTCGTTATATAACATCTTTCATATTTGCATAATATTCTGTTTATTAACACAATATTGTAATTTATTCCGAGTACCCCGTTTCATCCTACACCTTTTCCATCTTAACGTGTACTAGATAGATTAAACATTTTAAGTACAGCGTAGGTATGTATATGTTAACTGAAATGTGAAATTGAATTCTTTAGCGATATTTGAAAACAACTGTAATTTTTGTACTCTGCATTCGTTATAAGTACGACTGCTATCATAATTTAATTTTAGTTCTAAATTAATATTAATAATATTTTTTAATGACATTAATGTGTGAAATCTTCGTTTTCTTGCCGGTAGAAGATGGCTATAGGAGTAAAAGACGTTATTTCTAAATTCTAGGTCTGTGATATTTCATCTTTTTTCCTATTTAGTTTAGTGACATTTCATTGGTTACTTAACTTTTTCTCAGATTCACGTGGAACTTAGTTTATAATACACTAATTCAGTTATTTATCAATTCCATTCCAGAAGACAATGATGACTTGCAAATTGTCGTTTTAAATATTGTGAAATCGATCGTGACATTTTAGAGTTCGGTTCCTGAATATGTAATCGCAGATCCTTTGCAAGATGGATTACCTTATTGTCTGTCCGCCAAAGGTCCTTTTTTCGGCTAAATGCCATTAAGCTGAAAATGTCAAGCAGTCCCCTACTAAAGTTTGTAGTCGCATAAAATTTATAATTTAACACGTTAAAGACCGCATGCCCACTGGTGGTCACTTCACAACGAAAGTACATTTATACCTTGGGACCGGATGACTAAATAATGTCTACCTCAAATTATTGTACACTAAAAACATATTTAAAAAATAATATACGTAATTAACAATAAAAAAAAATCCCTATCCTATCCCCCGGTCCATATGTGAGAAATAGATTTTTCAATGCAGGCTTCGACATGTTAATAACTTTATGTAATTAATCTCACTGTAATTGACGTGCGGTTAAAATCCAGCATACTATACTAGCTATTCGCCCTGGCTCCGCATGTATTATATACATAAACCTTACACTACGGTTTACATGTATTATATATATAAACATGTTCATCTAGAATCACTCTATCTATTAAAAAAAAACACTTCAAAATCCGTTGCGTGGTTTTAAAGAATTAAGCATACATAGGGACAGACAGCAACAGCGACATTATTCTATTCTATGTAATGATGATGATACAATACACTATAAAATTGTAGATACTATTTAGAATAGAAAATCCTTTATTCAAATAAACTTAATTGAAGCACTTTTGAATAGACACAGTTATCTTTATTCTACCGCTCATTCAGAAAACTGTCTCATCATAAGAAGAACGAGCAAGAAACTTGCGTGTTGCTCTTTTAAATTTAATATTTAACGATATTTTATATATTATAATTGTACTCATAATTTTTATCGTAGTTTTTAAATGCATAGCAAATGAGAGACATTTTCAGTTAGATGTCTTAATTTGGGTGTTTGATGTTTATCGTCATGTAGGTTAATTTATTCGGGTGCTTTAATTTGTTCTTATATTAAACAATTTTTATGTAAGAAAGCCTATTACAGGATAGACGAATTCATAGATGATAACATATCAAGTAAATAATTAGTTTATTAGCATACAACGTTATAATTTAATTTTCTCATTGCTTTCTTGATTTAATTATTTTAGAAATATGAAAACGTAGCGGTTTTAGTATTGACTGCCGCATGCATTCTTATGTAAAATGTGAATACTATAACTATCAGATGGCAATTGTAAGTAGCTTTGACGTGGTCTAGTGTTTTGAGTAGTCATGCTCACTAAAATGTCCAGACTTGTGGCGGCGTGGTGGGCCGGGTCATTGGGCTCCCTAAAATATGGTCGAGCGCAGTGATGGCTGGCTCATACGTCATACTCGTGAACGGGTGCTGCTTGTAGGGACTGGTCTGCTCTAATCAGTATGACTGATTTCTTCTTATTAATTGTTTAACCAGTTGGTTATATATTCAATATTTTTTCTATTTGAGTATTTAATTGTATTAGTGCTAATCGGTGGTTTGTATTCACACACTTAAACTTAAAAATGTAAAGTAATAATAAAATTATTTAAAAGAGCAACACGCAAGTTTCTGGCTCGTTCTTCTTGTGATGAGGCAGCTTTCCGAACGAGCGGTAGATTAAAAAAATGTAATGACTATTCAAAAGTGCTTCAATGTAAGTTTATTTGAATAAATGATTTTCTATTTTATTCTATTCTTAGTGCAAAAATATATGAAATGGAAAATTGGCTCAACTTGAAGATATGTTAAAACAATATACCTTCTTTTTGAAACTCTTTGAAAAACTTGTATATTTCTTGAGAAGTACTTAGTTCATTTCATAGGAGACTAGGCTGGACTTTAGCATGAAAAAGAAACTTATCACTAGATAGTCATAGAATATTTTTAGTTCGTAGTATATAATTGGCTAATAACTTAGATTAGCTTATCATTTTACTTTATCTTGCTGACTTGGTTTACCAAGTAGGTATGATAAAAATGAGAAATTGATGGGTGTATATTGGAATTGTTTCTATATTTCCTCCGTTACATAAGGTTTTTAGCTTCAGATAATTTTTAAAAGAAATATACTGTATTTTTTCTGCCGTTCAGTTTGTAATGTAGAGACGAGAAGAGCTGGAAAGAAGGTCAACGGTATCTCTTTTTAAATCAAACATTAATATGTTAACATATTTTGATTTCATCGAGTAGGCATATATGATTTCTCAATTCTAAGTACATTATTAATTTTTACCTTTTTTGGTACGGTAATACATAATTCAATAATATGTAATAAATAATAATATTTCAAATGTAAATTAAGATGTTTGCATCGTCTATGTCTATTTGTATATATATATTTATCTTAATGGCCGTCACTTTCCCTTAATCCTTATTTTGATTTCAACGGATATTAAGCCTTTAAAATAACTACACTAATAATTCTACAGTAATCCTACTCTTTATATGAAGCATGATATAAGTTATCACCAATACTATAGCTTAAACAAAAACTGGCAAAATTCCTTCTGTACATATATTTATTAAAGCTCACATCTAAATCTTTTACCATAAAATTCCCAAACATAATATATACGTAAACGTGCTTACATATTTATTCATATTATTTACTTTACGTTGAATTTATTTTTGGATATCAAATATTCAGTGCAAATGTATTTTACTCTCGGAAATGAGATCATTTGATGTTCTGTATTTAGTCCTACCTTGAACCTTATCCACTTAACTTTATAATTTAAATTTACCCGTGCTCCTGATGTCCCCCCACTGATTAGGTTATAAGGCAGAAAAGATACAGATTGAATCAATGAATACATTACCTTGAGGAATTTCCATTTGGCGCTTTTGGTCCGTTCTAGGTCGAAATCGGAATGTATAAAAACAGTTTGGTATGCCAGAATTGTCTAAAACTTTTGATCAGACTGATGGTAAAAGTTTCTTTATATAATTTTTATTAACAAATTACTGAAAATTTATTTAATGAAAAACCTATTATCAAAGCAATACTAATGTCAAATATTATTGTTACTTCTGTTTAGCTGTGATGAAACACTGTATAATAAATTTAATTTGTATTTCTAAGTGAATTCTCTTTCATTCTTATTCTTTTCATATTTGTACATGCTAAACTTTATCACACGTGGGTGGTAAAAGGTTATACCGCAGCGTATATACGTCACTAACATCAGGGGCTGAATTGTGTAATTCTATTGCCAACAAATCTCATTTACAACATCTTGAAATGGCAATCTGCTATTATTGATAACTTTCGACCTTCTACTTGAAAAACTTATTCTAAGGTTTGCAACTGAATCTGTCAATTAGGAAAGCCCTACATTTGAGGAATATTATTATATGAAAATGTAGATTGCCAACCCTAATGGACCCTCATTAAGGTTAGTAAATACACCGTTGAATTGACATTGTAATTTATTTGGATTTATGAAATTTTTGCGCCGATTCTATCAGTCAGGTGTGAATCAATCTATACAAAATAGAAAATTCGCTATAGCTAGCTTCTATATAGAAACTTGCACTTAATTCTATATAGATTTCTAGTAACTATATAGATACAGGTGCATTACTAATCTGATTTTTTAAAATAATCTTTATTAATATGTATAATTATTTTTAAGTTTTTTAGAATGGAAAAAATATTATACATCTCGCCCTATTACGAAAGTAGCAAACGTACAAAAAATATTTACTCTTTACGAATAAAAGTAAAAAGTATGTCAATATTTCTCAGGAAATAAGTTAAAAATAAAATACTATTCCAAACCTGGAACAGTCGTAGGTAGAGCCGAAATTATTACTTTGTCATATCGTGCTTTCTCCTAAATTTTATAAATGCACTAAAATCCCTATGAGATGATTGATTGAATTAATCTCTTTGTAAACAAATCAACAAACTCATGTTCGTGTTTATAAGTTTCAGATACCATTTGTTGTTACAAAATTGTAATCCGTAATGTCACTCTAGTATTATCATAAATTGTTTAGCTCCTGATTTAGTTAAAATATATTACAATTTCAAGTTGTTTAGTTTTCAAAATTTATTGCTATACCTGGAGTCCTTAAAACACCGCTTTATACAGATTATGAGGGTATAGTTTTGTATAACACTGTATTTAATGGTCCTTTTTTCCTAGAGCGTAAAATTAACATAATATAGTATGAGTAATTGAGTACATTATCATACATAGGTGGATTTTATAAACAAAATCTTATTATGATTCGTGTAAAGCAGCGTTTTTAGATTTGCCGTTTTTGTTAGGTAACATAGTGCCTTCTAAGCATATATTTCTGATTATTAACTTGAAATGACGATTTCTCACGGGTTGAACAATATTATGTAGCCTTTGTTCACCTGGAATATATACCATTCGTGAATAGGGGATTGCCTTCTACATACACTTATACAAATACACACTTATACTATAGTAGTGTGTTGAATTCAGTTTCTCTATTTCCGTATTTGTCGATCTTAATACTTTAATAGTTGTGAATTATTTTGAACAAACGGTTAATTACAGTTGTTAGTTTAATAAAATAATTTCATGCTATCCTTATAGTCATTGCAGCATCTTTTTTTGTTCAACCAATCTTGAATGGGAAGATAAAAAAATAAGTCAGTATGTCTTATTCTTATTCCTTTTTTAAATCATTCCATTTGTATTATATAATAGATTCATATAAGAATTAGGTTTTTATGGCCATAGACACATTATAGTTAATTGAATAATTTGATTTTACGATCTCAAGTCACATAATTTATGCAGTCACAATAATAATGAGAACTCTAACCATTTAAGTGGAAAGTATTAAATGCATGTAATTGGCATTATAGCAATGGTATCGTGATGATATTTATATATGTATATAATCATATTATGTATGCTAAAAATCTGTCTATCTGTCTGTCTATTTGTTTGTTACAATTTCATTACTAAACGTCTCAAACTATCTTAATAAAATGTGAAGAATGATTAAGTAATTAATTAATATTTTTCAACTCGGAAAAATCAGACGAAGTAGAGGTGTCAGGTCCATTAATAATATATCTGTCAAATGGTATCCATATAATTATTTAGTCATTTTAGCAAATTCTGCGGACTAATAAATCAGTGTTATATTAATACGAAAATTTATAATTGCCTTCTACAAACCATCTTTAACATATCTACGAACTTTCAACGATTAATCTACTGTATTAAAATTCTAGTAACATATACTGATATAAAAGTAGTAATTTAAAAATCAGTTCATGTGAGCATATCTACGAAATACAAATAAATGAAGAGAAAGGCGACACAAAAGAAATTAAGCTATTGTCTTCATTATGACCGACTCTTAAAGAAACGAACGTCTCTAAATTATAGATACATATAAAATTTTGCACAGCGATTGACTATATGACTTGAGTAGACACTGAAAGATTTCCCAAAGATCCCATGGGAACACGCTCAATGGTTATGCAGGAAAAAAAGCTCGTGTGCAATAATATCTTTAAACTCTATAGTATTCTAATACACACAGAGGGTGGCTGCTATGTTTATTTGGTTTTTTGTCCGCTATTGACTGTAGCTCTCCGACTGGCTCCAACTAATGGACCGGTTTTGTCGGTTCAATACAAGAACTTTTTATTTTCCGGCGTATTAGACGTGCATACATTCTATGCATATTTTTTCACGACTTAGCTGAATGGAAGAATAAATTCATCTGGTCGCCATACTATTCATTTGGTTCGGAAGCGAGGGTTTAATATTCTTTTTTTTTGGAGGTTTTAGTTTCATACGAAGATTAAGTACACGTATATAATTGGTATAAAATGTGTATAAGATGAACAGGAGAGTAAGCGAATTTAATTCCTTTTAGAATCGAAACAGATTCTAAAAGGAATCAAATCTGTACCCAAATTTTCGAATGAAGACATTAGGCACAAATAAGAAAGTTATATTGTTAGTCTGTTGAAAATGTAAAGCGTAAAATGAGTTTCTACTAATATAACAATTTTATAATCAGCAATTTACAATAATGAAACTTTTATAGCAATTTCTGATACAAAGATGACAGTTGGATGAATTGTTGTTGCTGATATTTATATATTGCTCGGCTCAGCTTTTTTGTGACTCTCTCTGTCTAGCGGCTTCACTAATGCGAACCCTTTATCTTGGAACTTCTGCGAAATATTTAGTAAAACCTCACGCCATAAAAGGGATATGTATTCAGAATGTGACGTTCATAAAATTTTAGTCTATTCTTTGAAATTTACTCCTGACTGACTCAGTGACCTACCACTGTTTTATATTTTTTACTTATTACTAAAGCCATCTAAATTCGATTATTATAGTGAACCTCTTGGATTTGATCATTATTTTGAAAGACAGGTGTTGTCTGCCAAAATGAAAATCCGCATCTGCCGCATTGCTCTGAATTGTTTTTATTTTGGCTCGTTTATTAAGTATTTTTGTTCTCTATTCTATTGTTGAATTCATTTTTTTGTTGGCAGGGCTGAACCTTGAGAATAGCTTCATGAGCAGCCCCGTCTCCCCGCCAGAGATGAAGCCAGACACAGCGATGCTGGACGGGTTACGGGAAGATGCAACTTCTCCGCCTAATTCCTATAAGAATTATCCGCCTAACCATCCTCTGAGTGGCTCAAAGCACCTATGCTCAATATGCGGAGATAGGGCATCAGGAAAACATTATGGTGTATTCAGGTATGTATATTTATAATAAGTGTTTCAATTTATTATTAAAATAATTTAGTACTTTGACATTTCTTGGAAAAGATGATTATGAAATACTACCGAGATTGTAGGTTTATACGTGTACCTACGTATGACTTCATTTTGAGTTAAATATAACTAATCTGTACACAAACGTGACAGATTATAACTATAGACGTTACGTGAGTTACGTTATTAATGCAATCACATGATATCCCAGTGTAGGACTAGCTATACAGAATCGTTCAATGTATAAAAAGACTCATCATAATTTTACTACATGCTTTTTATATAGATACTAATACTATAAAGAGGTTCAGTTTGTGCTGCAGCTTGGAAGATCAGGGCAAAGTCGGGTAGCAAGTACCACGCGGATTTTTTTATTGTCAGATAGCCCGCTAATCGATGAAGAAACAAAAATGTTGCAAAATATTTATTAGATATAATGAATACTTAATTGTGTAAAATATATTAATAAATATTATAATTAATTAATACCTAACGTGATTATAAATAAAACTAATGGCATGGAATGTTCATAGTAAAAATGGGACACATAAAAGACCGGTTTGTTTTTGTAATTGGAACATTACAAACAAACTTAAAAATATTATATATTGGGTCTATATGTATTTTTATGTTGTAAACTAGTGTGATATACACTTCTATCTAATGAATTATTTATATAAGATATGCTTGGTGCTCGATTGAACACGAATTTGTTATCATAAAATATTGCATAATTTTTAAAAGCCCACGCAAAAAGAGGGATATATATTTAGCTTTCATTTTATTGTGACTACATGTGACATAACATTTACTCGGTATATATCGTACCTACCACCCACGCCTTTAAATGTGATTTTAATTTTGTATAAAAATATTAAAGGATCAGGTGTATTTATCTAACAGAACATTTGTCAGTTTTATTATTATATATTTCATACTTACTGAGCTCGCGACTTTGTGCCCGGTATTGTAATAGTTCATGACTTTATTGTTTATAAACCGATTGGAACAAAATACACTATATTTAAGTGAACGTACTACATTACATCAGACAAAATCGCATCAAATCGGTTAAACCGTTTCTGTTTACCGTGCCCAAACAGTAAGACAATAATTATTATTGGATCTATTTGGTTAATAACTACCCCAATAACAGTTATTCTCATATGTAGTCCATGTATAGACAGAGATCAAGTAGATTAAGTACATTTATTTTGTATATTTAGTTAGAAGTCTGGGGATCTATATCGTTATCACTACCAAAGGACAAGAAATGCTTGTATCACTGCTGATATGTACGCTATTGGTCGTTTGCTTTTTGTCTATTTTACTGATAGTAAATTTTGATTTTATATAATTATTTTGAACCCAAAAGTATTTCGAAACACTGAATTGACTTTTTAAACTACATCCCGAATTGATATGCGATACCTGCTGTAAATAAATTGTTTTAGTAATATACTGATGTATATCACGCGCAAGTGTGAGAAATAAGTTGACAGTTTTATAGTTTAGGTGAACGGTGCGACAGCACAGACAAACAAATATTGATTTTTGTATATTAGATTTTTATGGTATAATGATTATAACATGACATAACATAAAAAACAATAATGTTTATATGTTGTCACATTGTATTAAACTCAGTAGTAGTAGCTCAATTATTAGTTGGTCTAGCGAAGACCCAGTTACCTTTAGGTGACCATTTTTTTTATATAGATAAAACATTTACGTCACGCTTCTCTTCGTAATATTCTGAAACAAAAGAATACGCCAACCTTCATTTAAATAGACCACTGTCGCTTGATCGCATCCACATTCATCATAAATCTGTGTATTCATACAAACTCGCCGGTTATGAGTATTTTTAACTTGGCCCTTTTTCAACCCGTCACCTAATTGTTTGGCTTACGCAGGGTTGCTCACATTAAAATATTTAGTCTTTGTACGAAGAATAAAAAAATATAATATCTTGTACATTAACTCAATTTCACTCTCAAAACTCTCACTATTTTGACCGATTTTCGTAGGTCAAAATCTCGTACAAACTCGTACTCAAAAGAAAAGGTACTCTTAAAGCCAAAGATCTGGTTTTTGTACAAAAATTCTCTTATGTGGCATCCCTCGACATACGATTGTCTAGGGCGGCCTCTGCCTACAACTCCATTAACTTTCGCTCATTACCGATCTTATTCTCGTAGTTCTTTTTCCATCAATTATTTCCAAATGACCAAAGGGATGTAATATTCCCTTTCCTACTTTACCCTTTTGTTTCTATTATCGCTACATATTATACAAAAGTATACAATCAGAAACCCAGCGAAATGGTTAATAAAACTGAATATATTCAAAGTTCATCAAGAGATCGATTTATTCAGAAATGTATTTTTTTACTTTTCTAATATGGATAACCGATCGGTGTGAACTATTTGAAAACAGATCTAATCTAACAATATATCATTTCACTTACGTCCAAATATGTGATTCATCTGTATTACAATGCGTGACAATGTACATACATATGTATGCTGTAGCTTTAAAGTCGGTAAATATTTTATATGATTCTCCGTTTAATCATAGGTGACTTATATATGCATACCTTAAATACTTATACATGCTGGGAAGAGCGGAAAACCGTCTACAACGGTACCGACATTAGGATCGAACCTCCATGTGCCACACACGCTTCAAAGACCGTATAGTTGACGCCGTACTCTTGGAGATACCTGGCGGTGGCCAGCTCTGAATAACCGGTATATAACTAACATAAAAAAATATAGAAAGCAGTAACCTCCGTAAAATAAAACTGTTTTTACCTAAATGTAGTCTAAAGTACCTTAATCTGACAATAATACTGTCAGCAGTGAGTTTAACATGGATGTTACTCCCAGGGGTAAATATAAAAAAAAATATAATATTAATCTGTAGTTCAGGCAACTGTAAGGACTAGGGTTCATTCCCGGGAATTCTAGTCGAGAATTCCCGGGAAATCGTTGGGTTTTGTTCCCGGGAAATCAAGCTCGAGAAAAGTCGAGAACTCGAGAAATCAAGTACCTATATAGAAATTAAATTGCCGTTTGTTGTATTGCGTGGCGGCGCAATAATTTAAGATATTAAGGTTTTCTTCCATGTATTTTTTTTTGTTTTACAGAAACTATTTTTGTTTACAAGTTTAAGGTAGATTTTTTCTAAATAACCAGCCAAAAATGGTGCTGTCATTATAAATATAAGTTTGAATAATATTAGGTCCTAACATATGAAAGTGGTGTTTTGTAAAGGAGTATCCTGAAGTTTTTTTTTTTTTTCAAAATATAACATGTGTATTTAATCAAACTATGTACCATTGCTATTTATGCACTTTTGCCATCTCATAGGTACTTCATTGATCCCTTTACTGAAAAAACATTTGAACGGGAACATTTGTACATATCAATAAAATCTTTGAACTTTGGACTGCCCCATCGGATTTGAGTGTTTTCTCAATCAGTTATCCAAATTTCGAAAAAAATGGTAATCTGTTGGAGCAAGATCCGGGGAGCAATTGTAAAGTCTTAGACATTACAATTGAATCTCTTCTTATTTGGTAAATGTCAGTTGTACAGTGTGTGGTCTAGCGTTGTCCTGAAGCAGCAGTAGCCTACGGCGATTGACCAGCCTCGGTTGTTTAGTAGCTAGCTTTACCATTATGGTTTCTCAATTGCTGACAACACACATCTGCCGTAATCATCTAGCCAGATTTAAGAAAGCTGAAGTGAAGAACACCGGAACTAGTCCACTAAACGCTCGCAAGTAACTTTTTTTGGGTCAATTTTCGCTTGGGGCAGGTTTTGGTTGGTTTGCCAGGGTTCAGCCATTGCGATGAGCGTTTCCAATTATCATACAAGATCCACATCATCACAGGTAATGATTCGGTTTAAAATCCCTTTATTATTATGCCGGTTGACTAATGTAACGCACCAGTCTACGCGCGTTTGTGGATCGAAACGCGAATTGTCTACTCAATTCATGAGGGACCCACCTTTTAAGCTTTTTCACCCTCCCAATTTGCTACAAGTGGATTAATACAGTTTTGTCACTAACACCGCAACCTGCAACTAACTCGGACGTGGTTTGCGATGGATCTACTATAACAATTGCCTTCAATCCTTCATTACCAACCTTGGACTCCAGCCGCCCACGGGGATTGTTTTGCAGGTCGAAATTTCCAGAACGAAAAAGTTGCAACCAACAATGCATTGTGTTTTCTTTTGCGACACCACCACTATACACATCATTAATCCTTCGAGCCGTTTCTGCAGCACTAGTGCCATGGCGGAACTCGTACTCGTACTTGTAAATGACGCGATATTTTAAGTTTTCCATTTTGTAAGCTGAGTGACCCAAAGAAAAAACCAAGCATATGTATTACGGTTTTCGAAAAACAAATGCATGAGTGAATAGCCGTATAAATTAAAATTGAAATTTCTAACCAAAGAGGAGATATTTAAGATCAAAGTGGCCAGTACGACAAAACGCTAATTTCATATGTAATTTTATATATTTCAGTATTTTAAAAAAAAATTGCTTATTCAAAATATGTATAATGTTTTTAAATATACCAATCCAATAAGGGTTTTATAATTAATTTTATAGTTAAATTTATATTTAATATTTAACAAAAAATGCAGTGGTTTTCGTAACAAATTAAACCACTGAGTTTTTTGACGTTATTGGAACCAAATAATGTGAGAAAACGTACGTAAATGTAAATTTCTCGACAACCCGAGAAGACCCGAGAAATTAACCTCGAGAATTCTCGAGACCCGAGAAATTGAAAAGCTCGAGAAATCATGAACCCTAGTAAGGACATATCCATAGATAGATATCAATAGGGCAAATATTTACGCCCGCTTACAACGAAATATTAGATTTTAGCTCTCATATTGCAGACGATAGACGAACAAGGAAAATAAATATCACAAATTCCATCTCAAAATATTTTT